CTACTCAGTCGTCTGTTAGGACCTGCATGCATGAATGCAGCGCCCCCAGGCAATGGGGCGTCAGTATAAAATAATGTACAGAGTATGAAAGGCAATAAACTATTAGGAGGTATCCTGATATAGTGGAATAATCTGATAAATAAATCAAGGATAAGATAAGTGTACTGATCTGCTCCTTAATCTAAACTTATCAAAAATAATAAAACAACAACTTACCCAAGCTCCCATAAGCTCGGTAGGTACAAACAGCATACAAGACCACCTACTCAGGCCCCCATAAGCCCGGAAGGTGTCAATCAGCCTATATACCCCTATCGGTAGTCCCCTAGCCCCGTAGGCAGTCACATAGCCCTCTTAGACATTAATATAGCCCCGTAGGCAGCACATAGCTCTCTTAGGCATCAACATAGCTTATAGACAACTCATAGCCCTCTTAGGCAACAACATGGCCCTGTAGGAAGCACATAGCCTTCTTAGGCGTCAATATAGCCCTGTAGGCAACTCATAGCCCTTCTAGGCATCAATATAGCCCCGTAGGCAACTCATAGCCCGTTTAGGCATCTATATAACCCTGTAGGCAGAACATAGCCCTTTTAGGCATATATCACATTCATGCAGCTAACCACAATAGCCCCAAGGGCAACAATAACAATTCAATCGCTAAAAGAGAGCAATTTAGTTATAAACAACCTATATAAATAGCCTCTAAGTCGTGTCCAACACAGGGACGCTACTAACTGAATAAGAATCTCGATAATTGAGGATTATATCAACTCGAGCAGCCAACAATCAACAATAATGGCTACAAGTGTAACAAGGATAACAACCCAATTACATTGCTCCTAAGCTTTAAGGAAACATGTCGTAAGTAGGGAATAGCCTTAACATACATTTCCAATTAACGCTCGAAAGACCGTAGTTCTTTTACAAAAGTTGTTCCTTATGTCCTAAGCTACGCAAATACTATATATACACAACTGGTACGCACATATAAACAGTTCATAATTAATCTTAAATCGGCAGATTTGCCATATTTCCCCAACTTGTCGAAAACGTACCGTAGAAATTACATAAAAACAACCATAAAAGGGTCCCGAAATGATTACCTTAGTTAACCAAGTGTAAAACCTTGAAGAAACACCAATAACTACAAATTTATATCTTCAAAAACCAGCTCCAAACGCAGTTAATAGAAGGGAAAAACGATTGCCACGTGTAGGGATTACGTTTCTAGGCATGGGGGCAATGTTTAATGGTAGAAATCGTCAAAAACTAACCTTCATCATGCTAGAACTCCATAGGAACTCTCTTTTAAGCTTTCTTTCTGGTTTTGGAACTGAAATGGAATGTTTTCATGGCTTAAAATGTTAAATAAGCCGACATACCATATTTTTGACCCGACCCGAATTCTACCCCGGCAGTCCCTAGTAAAACCCTCATAACTTTTTGCTCTAATGTCGATTTGATATGGGGTTTCGTGCGTTGCAAACTAGACTCGTATGCCTTCGATTTAATGGGTGATAGGCCTTCTAACTCTTTATATATTGGGAGAAAACATCCAAGACATTTGACCTAAATTTTAGACAAATCTTTAAAAAGGAACTTACGATAACTTTCGCCAACTTTTATTTTGCCACTTACTTAACTTCAAAACTTGAGATACAACCCTTGAACACTTAAAATATGGCATACCACATCATTTTTAATTTATTACTCACCCTCCTTGTCTTTCCACAAAGATACGAGTTAATTTAGATATTTTGGAAAGTCGGGGTGTTACATCTAGTATCCTTTATATAGGCATGAACTAGGGTTTATGGTTGAGTAGCCTCCAAAAATCCTAATTGAAATTGAACACACCTTGTAGAGTCCCAACTCGAATTGAATGCATCTTGTAGAGTCCCACAAAATTTCAATATCTACAGTCACGTTGCACTTATTGAGAGTCAATTTGACTAATTTATAAAGCAAAACTAGATTACATTAATTCGATATTTTAAAATAAAAAGTAGATATTCCAAAACTGCACTGAAAGTACTATAAATTGCAAAAAAATTCATATCAATAATATGGCGCAAAAATACATTTTAAAATGTTAGTCAAGTTCATATCGTTTTGACTCTTAACAAGAAAAATGTGATGACTAAAAATGAATCGAGGGAGTATGTAATAACTTATTTCATCACTACATCAAAATAATTCTACATTTTGTCACAAAATTATTATCCTTATTCCTCTTACCAAATAAATCTGAGTGTTTTTCTTTAATTTTCCACCCAATGTATGTCTGACTATATTTGAGTTTCCGTCGCTTAGGTTCCATTCGGAGGGAAATGCTCCCTACTTAAAAAATCATATCAAAAGCTCAAATCCAAAACTTTTAATTAAGAGAGAAACAACCTCATCCATTGCAACATAATCTTTCGTGGTGAATCTTTAAGGTCGTTTGGTAGAGTGTATAAGAATAATGCTAAATAAAGTGTGTTTATAATGTTTGTATTAGTAATGATTGCATTAATTATGTATAAATTATTTCTTATGCATTGTTTGGTTTGGTGTATTAAAAATAACACGAATTGCATACAAACATATATTTACGAAAATACCTTCACATTTATGGTGGAAAAGATATAAAAAAAATTTGAAGGCCAATGAGGTCTTTAACAATGCTAATGCATGCATTAAAACCCCTTACATTATTAATATCTAGAAATTTATGATACTATTAATACACAATAGAGTGTATATATAGTACGAAAAATATAACAAACAAAATATTATTACTGTATACATAATTTATTTTCGCTAATACACGTTACCAAACGATCCAAATGAGGGACCTAAGAAATAAAACCCAATGATGAAACACATGGGAGTTTGGGTCCGTAGTGGATCGTCACTAATGAAATGAATAATTTTGGTTAATTTAGGCAAGGTTTTACAGGACAAAAATCCCATCCAATTTTCCCCGTATATTTTGGGGAAGTTTACTTTTCTGATTTGTTCTTAACATGACTTGCTGTTTCTTCTCTCTGGCAACTGCTGTTTCATTGTGTACCCAAAATCTACGCTACTAGGGTTTTTCTCCCTCTCCCTCGTACCTAAAGATTGGTTTTGTTTTTTCCACATTTTTGCTTGCCCTGCCATTTATAGGGCATTCTGCAGCTTTGGCTTTGCCAATTTCTCCAGGATTTCCATGGGATATGGTGCAATGCTGGGCAATTGAGGTCAGGTAACTTGTTTGATCGATCATTAGCTAGGTGGGTTTCGGCTCTCAGTATTGCATTTATGATTTGTTGTGTTTACCCATTGAGAGCTTGGTGTTTCTGACACTTGGTCTGAAGATTTTGATGTTGTTGTGGTTACCAGAGATGATGAAGTGGTGGGGGCTATAGGGTTGTTTTCTGTGCTTATTAGTTTCGTATATATATATAATGATGAAAAGGTTGAAAAATGAGGCTTCCAGTGTGAGGAGGTTTAAATTGTCTTATGTTTTGCTGGGTTTAGCTGCATTTTACTTGGTTCTTATCTGTGTGAAGTTTCCGGAGTTTCTTGAGAGTGCGACAGTTTTGAGTGGTGATGATGCTGATGTAGCTCTAGATGTGGAGGATGATAGTGGAGAATCCATTTCTGTATTTCATAATAGTGTAAGGGAATATGCTCAAGTGAAACCACAAGAAGAGGATAATGAAGATGAAGCTTCTCCCCATAAAAAGCCTCCTAAGCTTCACTATGGTCGAATTACTGCAGCTATTTTGAAACGGCAGAATATGGAGCGGAATCTTTCTATTTTGGACAGTATGGCAGATGAAGCTTGGACTCTAGGCTCGAAAGCTTGGGAAGAATTGGATAAATATGAGGAGAAAGGGATTGAGATGAATTCTATACTTGAGGGGAAGCCTGAATCATGTCCTTCATGGGTTTCTGGTAGTGGAGCAGAAATTGCTAAAACAGATCATATGATGTTCCTACCATGTGGGCTTGCAGCAGGTTCTTCTATAACACTTATTGGTACTCCTCATTATGCCCATCATGAATATGTACCACAGCTTGCCAAAACAAGGGCTGGTGATGCATTAGTTTTGGTTTCCCAATTTATGATTGAATTACAAGGTTTAAAATCTGTGGTTGGTGAGGATCCACCAAAGATTTTGCATCTGAATCCTAGAATAAGAGGAGATTGGAGCCGTCGACCAGTGATCGAGCACAATACTTGCTATAGAATGCAATGGGGAACAGCTCACAGGTGTGATGGTTTGCCTTCCAAGTATGATGATGACATGCTTGGTAAGACACTTACTGGTTTTTTCTTGTCTGATTTTGGTCTCTCTGTTTTATCAGCTATTCCTTTGTGGGAGATTTGTGGGTGGGGGTAGGGAGTAATGAAACAACAAAGGGAAATGATATTTTTGAAAATGAAGAGAATTCTAGGATATATTGGTTAAAGTTCTTTGACAATCAATGTGCGTAAAGTTGGCTTAAAAAATTACACACAACTATCTGGAAAAGTGAAATTGTCACTTCGTTTTTTTCTATGGTAAATCTCTTGAAAACTGAACAAACTTAGAGAAGAAGAAACAAAGAAAATATGGGCTAAACGTGTCATTTTTTTTTTAGAAAGGTAACATATTTGTATATTGATGTATAGACTACACAAGATCTGTATAGCCATCCATAATTACTGAGAAAATTAACAAAATACAAATAGGAATCTAAAACATCAAAAATCAATTTATGATCTTCTAAGCATACTCCTTTACACCAAAAATAGAAAAGGACTAAACACTTCATTTTTATCTTCTCGATGTGACAAACTTTATCTTCAAAGCATGTGGTTTCTCCCTTCCCAAATTGTCCACCATATATGCAAGCTGGAAACGTCTCTACCTTCCAAAGGCAGGGGTATGATCTGTGTACTTACTACCTTCCCCAGACCCTACTTGTGTGATTACACAGGGTATATTGTTGTTGTTATGCAAGCTGGGACAACCATCCATCTCTCTTTATGGATTGAATTAATACCTTCTCTGTTCCAGAATGCTAGGACATTCACCATGTTCCTTGGCATACTCCACATCCCTTAGGTTGATGAATATCCTCATATTTGTATAATCAATTTACAGTGCAAAATGAGATGACCCGATAGAGGTCTCATTAGGATCAAGAAGACAACTAAAGGAGTTATATAGAGGCAGTGCTGGGATAAATATAGTAATTAGCTACAACACTTGATCCTCCTTCTAAAACAATAGATTATCCTACACTTTGAAGCTCTTGTCTATTGATGGATGGTGTTGTCTGGAATTAACTCCATTTTCCTCAAGGAATTCATCTTCGTCACCTTGTAACAAAGAAGAATTAACACTAAAACAAGAAAGAGTGAGTTGATTAGAGTATAAACAAGGATTCTTTTCACACATTGTTTTTCATACTTGACTCTCCTTTTCTTTTGATTGTTGTCACTCTCATTTTGAAGACTTTGTGATAGACTGAAAGTCCTCTCTTTACTTATCTCTTCCTCCCCTTTTTCCATCCTAGGATTATCACTTAGCTCTTGTCAAATTTGTTTTTCATTTATATCTGAACCGATGGTTTTCACTTAATTATGTGTATTTCCATTGTAGAGTGACAATAAACCTCTTTTACAATTTATTCAAACTTTTTTTTTGATAAGCCTTGGGCCTAACAAGTTTTAGTTGTGGGATTCTTGATTAATAGCTTTATATCAATCAAATACCATAAAATATTGAATTTACTTTCATGGCAGTTGATGGATATTTGAGATGTGAGAAGTGGATGCGGAATGACATTGTTGATACTCGAGAGTCGAAAATATTCTCATGGTTTGATCGATTCATTGGACGTGCAAAGAAGCCAGAGGTGACATGGCCTTTCCCATTTGTGGAGGGTAGGATGTTTGTTCTAACTATTCGTGCTGGTATTGATGGCTACCATATCAATGTAGGCGGCCGGCATGTGACTTCATTTCCATATCGAACCGTAAGCTACTTGCCCTCTTCCAAATAATTTTGATTGTTTTCTCTGTAGACATGCAAGTGTTCTGCTTTTCCCATGACTGAGCAAGTAACTATTGAAGGAGAGTGTTTTTAAGATGTTCTTCTAGGAATTGACTTTAGAGTAAGCACATTTTAGACTGCTGTGCCAGGCATGATCACCATTCAACCACTGGAATACCTTTTTCTCAAAAGAAGGGCACATTGGAAATCTAGCTACTATTCAGATCTTTTGCCCATACAAATATTACCACACAAAAAATAAATGGATAACACAATATTATCGTAGTTTTTGATCCCTTTTCTGAACCCCTTCACCAGATTCACGGATTTGTAATTGTTGCAATTTATATAATCACCAGATTTTATGGAATTAATGTTTCAGTTTCCTCACGTATGTTATTACCATACTAGTAAGCCATAGTCAGATGTTCTCTATTCTCTCAGGGCTTCACACTGGAAGATGCTACAGGGTTGGCAATCAGAGGTGATGTAGATATACATTCGGTTTATGCTACATCTCTTCCAACCTCTCATCCAAGTTTTTCTCCCCAAAGAGTGTTGGATTTCTCAGAGAAGTGGAAATCTCTTCCTTTACCCCAGAATCGCATTCAACTTTTCATTGGGGTGCTTTCTGCCACCAATCACTTTGCTGAGCGTATGGCAATCAGGAAAACATGGATGCAGGCTTCAGCAATCAAATCCTCAGACATAGCGGTCCGTTTCTTTGTTGCTTTGGTAAGTTGCACCCCTCACCCAGATACTCCTTGGAGAGTAAAGATAGATGCATGTTAACTTTGTGCATTCAAATATATTTGCACCTCAGATGCAGTCATATTCCTTGTAATCACAATATTTCAAACTCCAATGAGCTTTAACTCTGACATGAGGTGATTAAGGAGATTGTCAAATGATAGGTTGTGAAACATCTTCTTTTTTTTAAAAAGAAAAAGATGTTTATTTGAACTGCTTATTAATGCATTCATTTTTTTTTCCTTTATCAAAAAGTTTGGTATTATCATAGCGAAGATGTATAGTAAATACATACACATAGATACATTGTGTATGTATATACATCATGTGGCTGTTGAATTAGATAGTGAAAAGAAAAAAAAAATAGAACCTCAATGCAGTATAATCTAATGAGACATATGAAGCTCGATGACAAAGCTCAATTCATAAATCATTAATGAAAAGGATGATAATGGATAATAGATGAAAAACATAGCAACTCTGGTATCACTGTTGCCTAGGACGTGGGAAATGTCTTATGTTGTCAAATAACCTAGGGACAGTAATAGATGTGGTGATCATGGGTATATCATCTGCATCTTATATCGACAGGAGGGCCATTACTTCTAATCTGGTTGGGCCAATAAGCTCTCCTCCCATGTTCCAGATGAGGTGAAAGTCGTGATTTTTATCATTCAAAACTAGATAAGGGTGTTCCCAGATCCTAAAAGAATTTGCACTTCACCAGTTCACCTTATCGAAAGAAAAATACTAAAAAGAATTTGCTGTTTCTTTATGGGAACTTTCTGATTACATTTTTTAATTTCATTCTCCTCTCTCTCTCTTCCATGCTCCAACTCCTCATTAACTTCTTTTGGAATATAGGGAGTTTCTCATCATCATTGACTAAAAACACTCTTGATGTTTCATGCAGCTAGAAGCCCCCAAATTTCAAACTAACAAAAATTAAAATGTATGCAGACAGAAACCAAGAGGATGATCAATGTGTTGTGTATCTAGTGCCAATTACTCCACTTCTAAAAATACAGTTAGGGAACTCTAAAATGTGGCGCCGTGTCAATAAAGAGCTTGACTGTATAATGTGGCTTTTCTGTAAGAACTATATTCAATTTTTTCCATTAAAAATACTACAAAATCTCAAGTTGCATTTAGCATATTTTGTCATAAACTCTGGCACAACTATTGTATTCATTAGTAGCCGGATAATAGATGTCAATACAATCACCCCCTTTGTATTGACCTACTTGAAAGATCCTTCAATCTTCATGGCTATCCCTAGAGCACACTGCATGCTTGTTACATTACATAGTTTATCATCTTTTGGGAGGTATTAACTTGCCATACTGTTCACTTGGAAGTAGTACTGCCATTTCTATCCTAGGACTTCTGAGGCGCTTTCATTTGAATATTTCATATATTAATGATGGTCAAGCGAAAGTAGAGTTGCTTTCAGGTAAAGGAGAAAATCCACGAACAGGAAAAAGGTTGTGCTATTGTCCTCAGTACTACTTTATGCTGTTTTGCAAACACCTCTCTTTAGGTTTCCTTTCACCAACTTATTTGTTTGTAGAACTTACGCTATCATCTCTGCCAATAGCCAGTTTGGAATTCAACCTCAACGAATGTACTTATGTATTAACATTTAACTGTGTAGAATCCACGAAAGGAGTTAAATGCTATATTGAAGAAGGAAGCAGATTACTTTGGGGACATTGTGATTGTCCCCTTTATCGATAGATACGAGCTAGTGGTTCTTAAAACTATTGCCATCTGCAAGTATGGGGTGAGTTCTGCACTTTGCTTCATCTTCCTCTTCTTTTCTAGACTGCTTAGTCGTGTCCTAATTTCTATCGACATGGCCCACAATATCTGTTGCAGGTTCAGAATGTGACAGCTGCATATATCATGAAATGTGACGATGATACTTTCATTAGGATAGATGCAGTCCTAAGAGAAATTCAACGTGTCCCTCCTAGACGATCTCTTTACATGGGCAATCTTAATCTCTTGCATAGACCACTTCGTACAGGAAAATGGGCCGTAACTTTTGAGGTACAGAGATTTATATGATAATAGAGTATATAATCAAAATCATGGCTACTGTTGTTGATTTCTTATAGACACTAAAGTTAATTTGAAAATATTGACTTGTGCAACAGGAGTGGCCAGAAGATGTATACCCCCCTTATGCTAATGGACCAGGATATATAATTACAAGTGATATTGCCAAACATATCATTTCTCAATATCGGAACCAAAGCTTGCGGGTTTGTAACAGCTTATTTCTTTCGTTTTCTTCTTAATCATAAACCTGTTAAAATTTGTAGATTCTGAAATATGCATTCCCCCATCAAATTGACAGATTTTCAAAATGGAGGATGTGAGCATGGGTATGTGGGTTGAGAGTTACAACAGTTCCACTCCTGTACAGTACTCTCACAACTGGAAGTTCTGTCAATATGGATGTATGGAAGACTATTTCACGGCTCATTATCAGTCTCCACGACAGATGTTCTGTCTGTGGAACAATTTGCTCAAGGGTAAGGCCCATTGCTGCAACTTTTAAAGTGATATGATCATTTTTTGCTGCTTGATGGGCGCGCAATTTGAATTGCATCATCTTCTTCCTACCTTGAGATCTTACGCGAAGAAATGAAGGTGTGTTGTTGTATCTGTTCAGATGGCTGTTTTAGTTTAACATATGATTTAACATGGAACATTGGTCATCGCCATGGATTTGTACATCCGGATTTATATACTGTGTACTAGTCGTTGTATAGGATTCGTGCCTCTCCGTCTTGTACCATGAAGAAACATAGAGAGATTTGATATTGAGCTGAGCCTCCCTCCCCACTACCATAATTTTGGGTTGGGGCCTTCACACTTATGTTTGTCCTTAATGATATATATGAAGCTTTTCCTCTGGCAATGCCAACATTACTTCTTCTTGCTCCTTCAAATTTACATTTGATACTATTTCATTAACCTAGTACTAATTTACATTTGATACTATTTCATTAATCTAGTACTAGTATTTGAATTTAAAATGATATACTAAAAAGAGTTCATCTTCATATTGATTGGCTTTAATTAAAATGTTATAAATCATGATGATTAAATTTCACATACATTTATGTAACAGCATATACCATATATTTCATCAGGTGGATAAATAAAATGAATGTGAATTAGTTGAATCTTTAAATGAAAGACATGCATATTCTTCCATGCATTCTAAGGTACACAAACAAGAAAATGGTAGAAAGCAAACTAAAATAATTTGCTTAGATTGAAAGTGCATCAAAAGGATTATTTTATAAAAATTATGTTCATTTAATTAAAACATCAATTCTCTTATTCATTCGTAAACAAAGCAAAAAAGTCTCGAGTTTATTTATAAAAGTTATGTGAAAAATTATTCATTCCAAAATAATGAGCTTAAGTAATATGCTTAAATTGAAAGTGCATCAAACGATATATCCTTAATTATTATTTTTATTTATTAAAATATCAGTTCTCTTATTCACACATAATCAAAGTAAAAGAATTACTTACTTCTATATAAAAGTCACCTACAAAATTATTCATCCCAAAAGATCTCATTTTACTCTTAGAAAAAATTAGCTATAAGATTACTACACTTATTTTTATGGGATAAGGGTTTGAAAAATATCTCAATTTTGGTCGAATTTGCTTTTGCGATACTAATCTTTCATGAGGATTCAGCACCTCCCTAGACTATTTAATACCGTATTTTAAACATATATATTTGCCCAAGTGGACATAAAAAATAATGCAAAATTATAAATAGTAATGTGTCCGCATGGACACATATATACCTTTAAAATACACTATTTAATAGTTCAGGGGATAAAAAAAACGGTATTAAATAGTCTAGGGGGTAATAGGTCCTTCTGAAAGTTTAGTATCGCAACAGCAAATCCGACCAAAGTTGGGGTATTTTTCAGACCCTTATCCCTAATTTTATTCCTAAGAATTAATATTTAAAAAAGGGAAAATGATCAAAAATGCCCTTAAATTATGTGAAAGTAACAAAAATGTCCTCCGTTAATAGTTTGGCTTAAATATGCCCTTACCGTCAATACTTTGGTTCAAAAATGCCATTGCAGTCAATACCTTGATCCATAAATGCCCCTATAGTTGCAAAATCGGTCAAAAATTCCCTTTTCCGAATAAAATATTATTTTTTTTCTTTTCAAACACATCTTATTCTAAATAAAAAATATTATTAAAGAACATTATTCTTATTTTCTTTCTTCTAAAATTACTTTAACGAATAAAAATGTAGGAAATATTTTTTTTCTTCTTAATCTCATTTTATCAATTAAAATAGAATAATTTCATGTACCCTTTCGGCAGATAATATATGTCACATATATAAGATAATAGTATATCCATCATTAATTTATATTTATATGACGATAAAAAAATAATGATAATAAAATAAGAAATATTTTCATTTTTTATTTTTTGCTTAATTGAAGTAAGATAAACATTTGCTAATTTTAAAAAAACATTATTAGAAAAAGAATGTGTTAAAAAGAAAATAATAATATATTTATCTGGAAAATGAACATTTTTGACCTATTAAATAACAATACGGGCATTTTAGGACCAAGGTATTTGACGGCGAGGACATTTTTGGACCAAACTACAAACGGAGGGCATATTTGTTCCTTTCGCATAGTTTAAGGGCATTTTTGTTCCTTTCACATAGTGTAAGGGCATTCCGCAATAAATTGTACAAGTATTGATTTTTTTTCAAGAGAGAAGTATCAAAAACACCCCTAAACTTGACACAAATTATTAGTCTCATCCCCAAACTATTGAGAGTCTTAAAAACACTCCTCTACTTGACTAACTAAACTTAGATACACCCTCGATACACTCTCGATATGCAACATGACATAGCAAGTGGTCTCAAACTCTTGTAGGAGCATGAAGTTCTTAATAAAAATCAAGAGAAGACCCCTAAACTTGACGAGAATTTAGGAGTGTATTTCACTAATGTTGTAAGATCGGGGTGTATTTAGCTTCAATTAGTCAAGTAAAAAGGTGTTTTTTAAGACAGTCAATAGTTCGAGGATGAAACTAATAATTTGTGCCAATAATTTAAACAGGTGGAAATCAAAGCGTAAAATTGGTGACTAGGCCGGTCTGGAAAGCCGGTTCAAATTTGTACGACGGTTCAGGGACAACCCGACCGAATAGAGTCACATTATCCTAAAGCCCCTCCTAAAACCCAAGCAAGCAAAGGACAAAGGATAAGAGGAGTTATTTGTTGCAATTTCGAGTTGCCAGTTTCAGCAATGGCTTCTGTATTGTCAACTTCCTTGTATCAAGGTAACTGTATTTTACTCGGTGCAGCTTTGATTTTTTTTTAAAAAATTCTTCTTGCTTTGTAAAATTGGGTTTTTTTTGTTATTTGCAGATAGAGGACTGAGAATTGTAGCCTCTACTGATGGATTTGTGCCTAGTATTTGCTGCCCCTATCGGAAGGTGTTTTTAGATTATTATGAACTCCAACACATCTTCATTATGTTTGTTAATCACCACTGAAAATAGAATATTATACTCTGTATTGGCTACCTGTTATTGTTAGATGATAGGTAAAAGGAGCACGTTTACAAAATTGTTGATTTTAGGTTTATCTGTGACTTTTTGTATCTTTGAGAGGAATGAATGGCGAGGGTTGAGGAGTGGTTTGGGTGAGCTATATGGGTGACACGTCCCTTTGAGATTGGGTAAAAACTTTGTACTAAGGTCTAGAAGAGATTAAAAATGGTTTATATATTCAATTCTATTCAAGAGATACAGGGATATTCCTGGGAGTTTGATGTATCGATCCTAATGTGCAAGGGTTTATATGCTTGAGGATATGGTTAACCTATTCTAGAGTGTTAGAGCTGACGATCAGGGAAAGCTGTTTGAAGGAAATGTTTTACTTCAACGGCAAAGAGAGTTTGGTTAGATTTTAGGAGTTATTTGTAGTTTCATGGTAGTAATTATTTCTGTTTTTGATATGCAGTACTATGTCATCAAATTTTCTTTATACAATTAATATGTGTGCTCACCTAATAGCTGATTCTCTTTCTTATCCCTCCACATGTACACCAAGTTTACCTGCCTATGTTTACTTCTTCATTTGCTGAACTATATATACATGTGCATCTGCATTGGACACTAGTACATATTGTTCTCTGCGACGGTGAAATTCATATAGTAATTGGGGACAGCAGAAGGTTTAAATTTCTGGCAGAATTTATTCACGAATTTGCCATCCCTGTCTTATCTTATGTTTAAGCATCTCTTGTTTAACATTATAAAGTACAGTCTGGCAATATGTTCAACATGCATGCTCAAAGGAAGGCGCTCTATATTGTAGCAAGGTTTCTCATCATTTTGAATAGTTTTCATTAATAGGAGTATGCATTGTGCTGGGAACCACCCAGACATTGTTTACAGGTACTACTCCTATTTCAATATGGCAGCTCAAATTTGTCTCCAGTAATCCATTTCAAAAGGCTCCTTTAGCTCCTTGTATAAAGTGTGAGAACAAGGAAAAGAATCAGGGTTCCTTTGAGCAGGTGTCTGTTGAGCGTTTCCCTTATCACAGTTATATGGACTCCACTTCTGGGCAACTTGAACCAGCATCTGGAGCTCGCGCTAGTATTCCTGGGAAGGAGTACTGGCCAGAAGGCACAGCTAGTCGAGTTCAGGCCGCCAGGGCTCCTGAACCAGTTGGTATTTCAACTGGAACTCCATCTTATGGAAAAACTCCTGGAAGTAGACGAAAGAAGTACAAGGCATCTGCTTCCACTTCCCAGCCTTCAGAAATCAATGTAATTTCTGATGATCCTCTGGAGACTCCAGATAATGTACCAGAAGAGCCAAAGGATCTTTCCTCAGAGTATGTCATTTATCAGCCTGAACAAGATGAAGAGGAGCTGACAGGCTATGAGCTGGATAAAAGACATGGACGGCCCCACCCATTTATTGATCCAAAGGCAAAGAAGGAAATAGAGAAGCCACTTACTAGTGAAGAACTATGGTGGAATTGGAGAAAACCTGAGAAGGAGCAATGGTCTAGGTGGCAGAGGCGGCGCCCTGATGTTGAAACGGTCAGTACTGAAAATTAATACTACTAAGAAATATAAATTGTTTAAGTGTGTAATCAGTGTAATTTAATTGTGCTAAATCAAGATTGGATGTCAATGCTGCTCATGCAAGTTGCTTGCTCGATGACACATTGTAAAATAGATAAATACAAATCTAAAGTGGATAAAATGACATCTTCAGTAGAGACGCGGTGAATATAAATAATACATTTCTAACCACTTTAAACCTCCCATGGTTCTCGGGCAATTTCAAATTAATATCATCACTAACATTCTGACTTAGAGATTATTATTATTTTTCCTGGAACAGGTGTTTCTTAAAGCTATGGCAGAGACAGGACAAGTAAAGCTCTATGGTGAGCATCCTACATTGACAGAGACTGCGCTCTATAGAGCAAGGAGACATTTATATAAGGAGGAAAGGTAGAATCAGCAACTTTTTTAATAATGTTGCATCACATGTTCTATTCTACAAGTTGTAGTCTCTTGTACTGAAATGTTAAAAGATGAACCTCACTCGTTTGGTATTAAACTTATTCATAAGCCCTTCGTCTGTCATGAATGCATATCAGAAACTATAGGCTCCAAGGAACCTTGCAAAGAAAGGATAGGCAATTTGAGAGAAAGTACAGATTAAGCAAATTCCATTGCCTTAATGTCTTATTATGTGCTTGTACACTGTTGTATTAATTCATTCTTGAGAAGCTTATTATGGTTATTACAAAGAGTCAAACAACAAGTATTGTGTCTTCTCTTTTTTCATACTGGTTATGTATATTATAAATAGCATTAACATGAATAAATTGTC